CAGTTTCCTTGTTTGCTACTGAAGCGCACCTTTGTGTGTATTTTGAATTAATAAATAAATAAACAAATAAATAATCGACTCTACTTCAAATTTGGGCCTCAGTGATAGGCGCTAAAGTCGTTTAAATCGCCACGGATTTCGCCGCGCGATTTGTCGCGTTCATCCAGCTCTAGGTGAATATACCCATAGCCTATCCAGCGAAGTGCCTAGCTAGTTGAGCTAGCCGATTAAGAATAACTCTAGGAGTTCGTAAGACTTGCAGAGCCTTTGGCTTACGATGGACATCTCAGCTTTTTTTGAGTTCTGATGTACAATATTTTTCTCGCAGCTGGACCCTGATCATTGGTAGGTTATTGAGAAATCGTTTCAGCACATTTACAACGGTAAGTATTTCAGCCTGGAACTGCTCCTACTACGGAGACTGAGCCGGAGAACTTCCGTAGGATTTTCGTCGGAGGTCTCACCGGAAACACCACGGATGAAGTTATGCGCGAGTTCTACCAGCAGTTCGGGGAGTTGACCGATTTCGTCGTTATGCGTGATCCCAACACGAAACGGTCGAGAGGATTCGGCTTCGTGACTTTCGCTTCTAAAGCTAATGTACGTATTCGTTGTCAACACATTTTTTCTTGTGTTACGTTTGATTTTAGTATAATCGTTTAGGTTGATGCTGCTATGGCTGCTCGCCCCCACGTTATTGACGGCAGAACGGTGGATCCTAAAAGAGCCGTACTACGGGCCGACAAGTATCGTAACGAGTCCGTGTCCACTAAGCGTCTGTACGTGAGCGGCGTTCGTGAAGATCACACGGAAGAGATGTTCACCGAATATTTTGGGAAGTACGGAAATGTATTGAAGGTAGGAGCCTCTTTCTTTAGAGTTTAGGGATGCATATAGAAATGTTTGCTTTTAGTCGGAAATTATTCTGGACAAAGTCACCAACAAGCCTCGTGGGTTTGCCTTCGTCACATTCGACGACTACGACCCAGTGGACCGGTGTGTTCTCGTGCGTAGCCACATGATTAATGGCTTTAGATGCGCTGTGAAGAAAGCGCTCTCTAAAGAAGAAATGAATAAAGTCGTTAGTTTTAGTTTTACAGTTCGTTGAGAACTGTTTTATACGCGACTAAAACAATGCATAAATTATGTTTAGGCGCAAAACACTCGTGATCGTGTGGAGCGCATGGGTCGCTGTAGTGAAGATGAAAATGCTCGTGGAGGTGGGCCAGGAGGTTGGGGTGGACAAACTCGTGGGGGTTACGGAGCACAGGGTGGGTACGGTGAGTTCAACTGATGATCACGACTGAGTTCTACTTTTCCGCTTTCTCCTTTGTTTCTGCTAGTAACTAGATCCTTCCCATTCAATGGTGCCACAGCCGCAAAAGCTACAACTGCAGGTTATGGCGGACCTCCAGGAGGAGGTTATGTTCAACAAACTCATGGAGGATGTGGAGCCCAACAAGGATGGGGAGATCAGGCCGGATGGGGCCAGCCCAGTGAGGTTGTTTGTTTTGGAATGTGTCGGAGTTCAATGGTTTAATGTTTCAATAAATTGTTGTCACTTGTTTTGTGTTAAGGTGAGATACTAGACGTCATAGAGACTTATCGGTTTCCCTTTGAGTTGTTCATTTTCTGGGTTCTTGCGGTGTCTGCGTCTCGCAGGCGAGCGATTATACCCTGCACTGATCTTGTCTACTATACGGTACGCAGCTCAATGTGATCATGACATGGGAAGAACCTTCCAATGTGATGTGCATATATTTTGTAAATTTGTTTCTCGTGGAGTAATGGAAAAGTACTGGCGGCTCTGCGTGATCGATCCCTGCATGGTGACGGTGTACTGCTGATGCCGTTTACATGGTTAGGTCATCTTGAAACTGAGGGAATATGTTCGAATGTTAAAGTTCCCTCCAGGTTTTTTGGGCTCATTTCGGGATGGTTTTCGGTAGCGGTGATGGCTTGGCCGATGATGAAAATTCTACAAATTGGAGCACCTGTAATTCCGCTGAGAAATTGAAATTTCTAGAAATTCCTCCCTTCGTTGCTAAGCTACGTTTCAGTTTTTATGGAAATTCCAAAGACCGATGAAAGATATCAATTTTCCGAAAACTCCCCAGAATGTAGGAAAATTCTCGGGTATAGAGCGTTGAGTTCGAATTGATAGTGTCAGAGTTGGCCAGAATTCTTCTGATAGCAGCCAGCTTGGTTAACGATGCTAGCAGTTTCCTCAATGAATAAAATTTGCGTCAATTCTTACTTCCTGAAGTCAATCGTGCTCGGCCATTGTATCGTTGTAAGGCCAATTCAGCTCGGTCTTTGGTTTGAGCATCAGCTTTCCCTTTTCTGGCGTTTCAACATGGAACATACGGCTTTTGTCGTTTCCTCAACACTTTACAGTAATTCAATCCAAGTAATTTTCTCTGATATTTGCCATACTCTCTTTCTTATCTAAAGTTGGTCCAGCTCCTTTGTATTCATCCTGCTGACGTGTGGGAATGTGTGTGGGACGTGTGTGAAAACCTGTGGGAATTGAAGTGTTCCCGCGGGCTCCAACTTTTGATACTGAGGTTTTGATGTTTGCAAATGTTCTAAAAAGGGGTGTTCACGTGTTCATGTTTGACGTACTTCTCCTCTGAGAAAAGCATATTTGTAAAACTGTGCTGCGTAAACTTGAGTAAGTTTTTTGTAAACGATCGTTTGCTTCCGTGTGGGATGTTCGTGTCACATGGGTCTTTTTCATGTTTTTCGGATCCCAAACGACAGCAAATGGCCGGAAAGCCCAGGGTCACCCCATTGTTTACTGAGTAGAACAAGTTCAAAAATATTATAGTTTTTTCTTCATAGTTTCTTGTTAAAAGGGACCTGAGAGTTAGAAGTTTCCTTCAAATCAACTTGAAAGGGGAGTGACTCCAGTTCACCGTTGATTGTGAAGATGTAGAAACCCTTGAACTCATCTCGGAGCTGCTCCCACGATGTAGGCCTGTAGGCCAAACTCATGATTCCCTTTTGTGGACCGAAAAACTGAGTTGACTTGATTATTACTCACCAGCGGTAACCAGTTTCAACGGGTTTTCTTGGCTCCCCGTTTCTCAGGGAGTACCCTAGGGCAATTTGAGCGATGGTTATAAGCAGCGAACGGATCGAAGTCGAATAAACTATTTGCTTTGGAAATTTTCTAGGAAGGGATAGCCGGCAAGCACTTATTATTATTGTATCATTATTATTTTGGCTATGCCTTTACACTGGCACCTGCGATGTCTGCGTCTCGCACGCGAGAGATTAAACACTGCTCTGAACTTGTCTATTATACGGTACGCAGCTCAATGAGATCATGGCCTTTGGAGGACTGTTTGGTTGAAATGTGCGTCGCTTGCAAGATTTGTGGTCGCTTCTCATAGTGGAGCGGAAAGGTGCAGAAGGCGCTGCGTGGCCATTCACTGCGCGGTGGTCACGCTATGCTGGTGCCATTTTTATGGCCATGTCGTCACGACGCTAATTGGATCTGTTCGAATCTTAATGCTGCTTCTGGGTTTTTGGGCTAACTTTGGGATGGTTTAGGGTTTTTGGGAGCTTTCGTGCAATGGACGAACTCTCCCAAGCGATGCTGGAGGTTTCCCAGCTAGAGGGGGAAAGGGAAAGGAGCTTGCTACCAGCGAGAACAGAGCATGGTGCCTGTGTTATGTGTACGGCTGTTATCCTGCTCGAACACATTACGCCACTACTATTATAGAGTTGAGTAGTCCCTTCGAGAGTGTGGCAGGCTTCTTAGAAGTTTCGAATGTCGCCTCTTTAGAGCTCGGAATTGGAGCTGTGATTGACCTAGAGGCTAGTTGATTTTTTCTAAAGCCAGTTGATTGGGTGCTAATAAATTGTAACTGCCCCATTTTTCGAGCAGATAGCTACAAATTGAGAGATGTATGGCATTCTTCTCTCTGTCCCTAATCGTCGCTTTCAAGTCAGAAACGAAAGTCGTCGCAAAACGACAGCAAACAATGGAAAAAGATAAAGATGGAAGAGTTCAGTCGGATGGGGCAAGATAAAGACAGATGATAACAGAAACGGGAAGTAAAGAGGACGAATGTGTGGATATCCTGTTCAAGGTCGAAAACAGATGCGTTTCTGGCTTTTGGCAAGGGCAATGTCGATTGGAGCGCGATCGTTGGCTTGTGACAAGAGTCAAAAGGCACCAATACGGTCGCCGCACGCGTAGAAACTATTCCACCCCAATGGGGCAACCTCTCTTGTGATTTTATCCTCTAGAATTCTGGCAGTGGCCTGAAAAGACGATGTAGCGATAGACTGCATTGATGAAATCGCATCCCATCCCATCAGTAAGTCCCACCTGTAGCTTGAAAGGTAGTGAGCACTTCTGTTTGTTGAACTATTTAGGCCCACTCGGAACTTTGCTCGCGTTGACCTAGTATCAGCGACCCTTTGGAGTCTCTTGACTCTTGGCACAACTCTTAGAATTGCAAAAGTGGTGCGGATCCTCTTTCCCTCCACTTAGCGAGTTAAAACTACTCTGGCTTTTCATTCGGGAAAAGGCATTGTTTGTGTTGTTTCCTCAAGAATTTACCGACAAGTAATTCAATTCAAGTAATTCCTCTGATATCCACCTCACTCTCTTTCTTATTTGAAGTTGGTCCAGCCCATTTGAATTCATCCTGGTTGACGTGACCTGTCGTAATTGAAGTGTTTCCTCGGGCTCCAACTTTTGCTACTGTAGTTTTGATGTTTGCGATTGTTCGAAAAGGTGTCGTTCGCTTTATTATGTTTGACGGACGTTTCCACTGGGGACAACATACATATTTGTAAAGCTGTATACTGCGTAAANCCCATTTGAATTCATCCTGGTTGACGTGACCTGTCGTAATTGAAGTGTTTCCTCGGGCTCCAACTTCTGCTACTGTAGTTTTGATGATTGCGATTGTTCGAAAAGGTGCTGTTCACCTGTTCATGTTGGACGAACTTCTCCTCTGGGAACAACTTGTATAGCTGTATACTGCGTAAATTCGAATCAGTTGATATTTTCTCAGACGATCGTTTGTTACGGTGTGGGATATTCGTGTAACTTGGGTCTTTCCCTTGTTTTTCGGATCCCAAACGGCATGACCGAAAAAAAGGGTCACCCCATTGCTGAGTAGAACTAGTACAGGTTTTTGGGTTCCAACTCCTCATGTCTTTGAGATAAGAAAACTTTAAATTAACGCAGGGATTGAAGCTCAGCCACTCGATGGTTATTAAGTGAGTCATGAATTCTTCTTTGAGCTCTTCCCCCGCTTTTGATGAAGAAGCCAAGAATCATGATTCCTTTTCAAGGCTTTGAAACAACTGAGTTGACTTAATTATTTCTCACCAGCGGGGACTGGTTCAAACGGGTGAGTACTCGTTTAATCACTTGAAATTGAATTCATAATTGAATTTTCGGGTCCGACTTATGAACATATTCAGGAGCACTCTCGGACTTCTTTCCCTACCTTTTTCTGGCCTGTTTGAAGGGTTCCATTGAGAGCAAAGCTGCCGTAAGGTGACTATTTGAGTTATCACTTGGCATACTTATAAGGATAAAGTATGAAGTGTCTCGGCGTAATAAGTTCGGACTAAGGATGCACCCCGCATTCGACTTCCACTCAGAATCTCAGTGACTTATGGAATGCATATATGGCCCATACAATTACTTGCGCTTGGCCAGCCGATGCGCAAACAAATGCTTTTACCCTCTCAGATGAGCCCTGATACCAAATGAACGACTCCTGGTCCAGGCGAATATCTATCCGGGCCTTGAACCCGTGACCATGCGTGTGTGATAGCGTCACTTGCCACTACACCACCCCCGCTCACTACCCCATCGTTACTGATGTAGTAGGCTGTTCCTACTGTTCCTAATGGCTAATTGTATTAACTCTTTCAAGTATTACTACAGTTGATTGAGCAGTACTCCGAATTACACTTTACTTGAAACTGTCTCAAGCTGTCAGAAACCTCATACATCCAGTTCCCACGATTCGAAGAAATTTTCGGTTTCATGGCTCACTCTCAAGTGCCATCCCTTGTTCTCCAGTTTGAAACAAATGAGTTTTCTCTCTTACTTTGGATATTCACTTATCTCTTCTATTTATTCAATTTTAGTTTTATTGAGGTAAACAAAAACAAAATAAGCGCCTGCACTATGTAAGCCGACAATCACATATTAAACGACTTTTCTCCCTTAAAACACAGTTGTAATTTTCCTCGATGCATCCTGATATCTTTGTTCAGCACCAAAACCTGGTCAAGTNTAAGTGTATAGTTAGTGTACCAGAATAAACGTTGGCTCACTGTTCAAGAAGCTTCAGTATGGTTTGGTGCTAGCTAAAAGGGGGTCAGCCATCTGAGAAGTATATGAGCGAATACTTCCCAAAAGCTTTTTAGTAACGTGCGTTTCATACGTTTTTTACTCATTTTCCCAATTTTCATATCCAATACTCGTTCTCAATTTCATGAATCTGCAACTTCTTCTAGAAATCTGTCAAAAACAAAACCATTTTGTCCATTTTTGTC